AATTTTCTTGGCGATGAGGGGGACTACCGCCCCAACCCTTCAAACCCACAAACAGAAGGGGGCACATCCCCCTTCTGGCAAACCTCTGATGTACCTTTTCGATGGGGGCGGTGCCGAAAAAGTTTAGCGTATATTTGAGGTAAAGGGTTAAGATATGGCCCACCTAATGCATTACCTCCACATTGAAAGAGTATTCAAATAGGCTAGTACCACTGTCAACTGCATTATAACTGAGGGGCGCGGGTTCAAGCCCCAGAAAATGCAACTTTTTTTTTCTTTCTTTTTGTTTGAACATAAGATCACTCTTGAAAAGAGAAAAGTATTTCATTTTAATCAGGAAATTATTTTTGGTATTTATTGGCTAAACTGTGCCAAATTTACTATCAAATATTGTACCTGATAATTTCTATGTCTAATAAAATAAAAACTGGACGGTAAAAGTGTTTTATATTTGACAAGCGCAACCAATATACTTTTAGAAAAAAATATGCAAACTTTGAAAACAGCCCCTGATTTTAGGGATATTTTGAATAAGGCCCTCCAAGTAGAAAAATGATCAAACAACTACTTAAAATTGGTAGGGTATGGTAACATTTATATACATATTTCAAACATTTTGAGTAGACACAATAAATTTGCTGGGTCATTTGTTAGCTGAATGCTATTATTATCTTGAAAATGTTTTATAGGAAATCAGTTTTTCATATGATTATAAAATAGAATATTTAGAGTTTCTCATTTCTGAAAAAGAGCCCTTCTAATAGCCAATTTTTACTTATGAAAATCTTCAAAACTCATAAACCATACGGTAAACTTTGTTTAAATTTTGCGTTCTTGTTTCTTTTAAGGTCTATAACTGACCTATGTTATTAATTTTATAGTTCCTTAAAAGGCCCATATTAGGGGGCTCATGCATTAAACAAAGCGCCATCCTACAGTGACATCTCTAATATATGACAATGTACATGCTTTATTTTTTGACAATATGTTTACGGATGCAGAAATAAATTCAATTGTGGGCAGAGTAAATGTATAAAGGCGGCTTAAGGATTGTTGGCACGGCAAAGAACCACTTGAAAAGATATCGGAATGGGGAAGGCCGACAATCGATAACTAGAAAAGAATAAGTTGCGTCAATGACAATAAACGAAAACTGGCAACCATGCGAAATTATATGACCGTGCACATTAAAGCTATTACACTGTACAGATTTTATCCCAAGAGTTTATGTGTTACTAAAAGAATTGCAACTACTATTTAGTTGTAAGCTGGAGAGTAAAACCAGTGAAAAAGATCATCATCAACACACATCTGAAGACCATTTTACGTTTGAGCAACAGGATACTCAGACAGGAAGTACCGACTATGATGGTGACAAACTTCTCAAAATATTACAATTTTGATTATGCTACTGATTTTTTCATAAATTTTGTGAAATGTTGATATCATTGAACATAAAATGATTAAATTACTTAAATCGTTAAAAGAGGACTTAATGAGTAAATGGTTTAATATTTTGAAGAATCATTTACCTCCAAATGGTCAGACGAGATCTCATAAATTCACGTCGTGAAAAGCGCCCTTAAAATTGCAGCAGAAGAAACATTTATAGAGCTTATAGAATTAAATTTTATACGAAAGCATTTGACCTTTTAGATTTTCTTAATGAACTTAAGAAATTGATCAACTATTAAGTATCTATTGAAAAAAGATGTGGAAACAAGATTGCATATGTGCAAAAATGCTATGCTGCCACATTAATAAACAAATATAGATTTAAATTTGTTTCTATGCAATTGAACTTTGCCATAATGCAATAGTGTCCAGTAAATTTGGTAGTCAACGTCATATTTCAGCATGTCAATGAAAGACAATGTGCAGATGTGTCTAATGTCTAATGATACAAAGGCCATAGTGCAATAATTGATTCAAAAATACAATATTTGTTTCTAAACAAAATGATTAGTTATTTAATTATTGCATAGCTGCATTAAACATTGCAATGCAGGTAGAGTTACTTTTTCTTAAATACTATCTTTTCAATTAAGCATTACCAAATTCTAAAAATATAAAAGAAAAGACATTTACGATTTAAAATCATCATTTAATATATGGTGTGAATCATAATGTCCTTATAATATGCTCAAATTGTTTCATTAGATGTTCTTGAAAATATTTAATTTGCAAATAGAAAGAATTTAAACCAGCATTTCACAGATTATTCAAACCATCGCTTACCTCACCGAATTTATTGCCATTGAATCATTTATTTGTTTATTTAATGCAATGACGTCACGCAAAAAATATGCACGAGTCTATTAAATTTTTCACTCTAAAGTTCCTGATTTTATATTGTGAGTAAAGTGGTTAACCACACACAGTAAAATTATATATATGTATATAATTATGCTAATAAAACAATTTTCAAAAATCAAAGAATATGTAAAATGTGTACTGCAAATATGTGTGCATATTAAATGCAATCATTAAAATATATGCATTCATTTCTTATTGGAAAACTTGACTCAAACTTTATAGAAAATCGATTTCATATTACGTCCCTTTACTTACATGAAATGTTAAATTCGGTAATATATTTATAAATAATGCTTTTTGGAACCTATAATATTATAACATTACATCTTAATCTGAGCATCATATTTATGATTTAAAACCATACAACATTTTGTTAGAGGATCTTTAAGTTTAAATACATTGCAATTATTTTTATCTGTGTTAATCACTATGTAGGCTATATTTAACATTTATGTAGACATATTTATTTTATTTGATACGTTTAAAGTTATCAGATAGCAAATACACTGAACTAGTTAAATCGTATTTTAATGCGAAATATACCGTATATGTAACGTATATCATTTAATGTGTACATTTGTAGAAGTACATATGATGAAATAAAAATGTTAATGTGTGTTTAAGTCACACAAAAACCGTAGATATCATTCAGCGCCTCTTCACTTATCCTGATGAGGCATTCATGTGCTCTCGTGCTTATATCTGATTCGAGATAATCCACAGGTAGAACATGAATAAATAAACAAAATCACGTAAGCTAGCTGCTAAACTTTCTCACATAATAATGAGCATTGACGACATTCTTCGAATCTTAAAAGAAACATGGGTTAACGCAGCCACATAAAAGCAATATTGTTAAAGGTTTGGGGTTGCCGGCATATGGTTCTTAAATCCAACAATAAGAAAATAGCATAAAAACACGGAAAATGGACGATCCCCCGAGGCAACAAACGGAAATAAGCTTACTAAAGAATTTTAAATGGTTTACATGATGTTAAAGGAAATTTCACACCATACACTATATACAAATATCCATTGACACGGTTTGTTAGAGGTGTACATGGAAAAGGTACATACAGTCATACGTTATTGATTTTGGGTCACTAGTTCAAAGTTCTAAGTCACAGGGGCCTTAAATATTTCATGATCTTGAAAACTATTTATCACAAAGTCTTCATTATTTTTCTTTTTTCCATAATTGAACACTTCCATGTACCAATTAATGGCAAGTTTCTGTAACAAAATTACCAATTATGTGAGTCAAGGGCTAGAAAGGGGGGCATATGTGTCGTTCGACATTCTTGTTACTACTGGCACAAAAACATATACATAAAAATAATTTATCTCTAGTGAAAAAAAGTCAAATTGTACAGGTAAAGGTTTAGATATATATTGTCAAATAATGTTCGAAACAGTAACAAATACATTTTCATTTTCCCAATGTACTTTAACAAACAAAAGCAGTGAAGTTAAAAAATAGCATAATTATGTCAAAATGTCAGAGTGTAAAAACTTTGCATACTGAGCTTATTTGTGATACTTCATATATTATATAGTTTCAAGTGAATATATTTTCTAGTTTTAGAAACATTTAAGTATTAATAGTTATATGAGAACATTTTCTTAGCCAAAAAGGGGCATAACTTGTGTAATAATTCAATGGAAATGTAGAATTTTCGTCATCTGAGCTTGCCTGTCTTGTGCCCTGTCCTGTTTTTGTTTTGGGTCCGCCTGGGCTCCTTGCCAATGTTCTTGTTGCTTGGTCCTATGGGGGTTGCGTTCATTGAACGCCGCCTCTCCTTGTTGATCTTCTTTATCACATTTGTAACCATTCATATAAATTTTAAGTTTCAAGTAAATATCTGTTCTGGTTTAAGAAATATTATAGTAAATAAATTAAAAGACATAAAAAATGGACTTAACTATGTCAAAATTCAATACAGAGTATTGTATGTGCGTTTGCTATGATGTGTATATGTTCTTTATCTTAACATGACTAATTGTATGTAAAATAATATCTTCAGATTTTTGGGACTGATTCCTCATGTGCATAAAAACTCATCAATTAATTTGTTAAAATTTAATATATTTTACGTTTAAAGTCTGTTTCGATAATGAGCCCATATATATTTACTTATGTGCATAAAAACTCATTGTATCAGTTAATTAGTTAAAATTTAATATATTTAACGTTAAAAGTCTGTATCGATAATAAACCCATAAATATTTACTTAAAGGCACATTGCCTCAGGAAATAGTCCTTAGAGGAATAAAATTAAAAACATTTATGTAGCATAATGGGCCTTAAAAAAATGAATACGTTCTGGGGGATAATTACTTCCCCTTGACTATCATTATATATATATATATATATAAATGATATATATATTTCATACATGCTGTTGTAAAAATAACCATCCCCGGCCAATAGAATGATTGTCTGATCTTTCCAAGTGTTTTCTCTATGCCGAGATGTCCATTGCATTTGGTGTCGTGGTGATGTCTAATAACATCGCGTTGTCTATCCTTTGGAGTAACCAGTTGGTAAATTTGGTCTCCATCGTCAGTTTCGAATCTCCGATATAGCAAGTCGCAAACTATTTCCAGTCGATCCCATTGCCGCCATAATGTTTTCAAATAAGAGGAATAAGCAGAAATGTCAGTCAAAGCTGGTCGTTGTTTACCATCCTGCAAGGCCATTTTAATCTTTGCTATGTCTAAATCTTGAGTTTGGCTGATTGATAAATCAATAGGGTCCCATCCATCTAGGAGAAAGTGATTATTTGACAATGCAGATGATACATCCTGCGTCTGACTTCTGGAAGAGATCCTGATATGTTCTTCCTTGTATTCATCTGACGGTTTGTTATTTTTCTCGAAGTTATCTTGTATCTCTTGTTGGTGTTTACATGATTTACATGGCCTATTGAAGAGTGCATCTGCATTTGCATGGCTCTTCCCACTTCGGTGTACTACGGTTAGATTATACTATTCAATTCTTGTAGCCATCGAGCAACTTGTCCTGTTGGAACTTTTAAGGATCTCATCCAACTGTCAGCTGCATTATCAGTCCTTAAAAGTACTTCCTGGCCATACAGATAACTGTGGAAATGTTTCAAAGCCACCACAACTGCTAGCATTTCTTTTCTGGTTACACAGTAAGACTTTTCATGCACATTCATGGCTTTGCTCAAATACGCAATTACTCTTTCTTTACCATCTTGCATTTGACTTAGCACAGCTCCAGATGAAGTATCGGAAGAATCAGTATCAAGTATAAATAATACCGGATATGCAAGTATAGGCGTTGTATTCAGTGCATTTTTCAACTGGTCGAATGACTCCTGACACTCGTTTGTCCAAATAAACCTACTGCTTTTCTCACAGAGCTTGTGCAACGGTCTAGCCACGTTGGAAAAGCCTTTAACAAACTTTCTGTAATAAGAAGCTAACCCAAGAAAACTGCGCATTTCCTTGCTGTTCCTTGGTGTAGGCCAATCATGCACAGCCTTGATTTTCTCAGGGTCCGTTTCAATGCCCTCCTCTGATACGACATGGCCAAGGAAACGTACAGATTTCTGGAAGAATACACATTTTGATGGTTTAAGCTTTAGTTTTGCCTCGCGAAGTCTTTCGAAAACATGCTCTAGACGACATAAACATTGATCAACCGATTCCCCAGGAGTTATTATATCATCCATGTATAGAAGAGATTCAACCCACTGAATTCCTCTTAAAACTGTTTCCATTAGCCTTTGGAAAGTCGACGGTGAATTAACAAGACCAAATGGCATGACACGAAAATGAAATAAACCTTGGCTACTTGTAGAAAATGCTGTCTTCATTTTGTCTTCTTCTTCCATTTCTATTTGCCAGAAACCACTACAAAGGTCCATGGTGTTGAACCATTTGGAACCAGAAAGAGAATCAAGACAATCATCTACCCTTGGTATTGGATATGCATCTTGAACAGTCACTTCATTTAGTTTTCGGTAATCAATGCAGAATCTAGTTGAGCCGTCCTTTTTCGACACAAGTACAATTGGCGAGGACCAAGGGCTGTTCGAAGGCTCGATTATTCCTCTGTCAAGCATTTTGTTTACTTCCTCAGTTTCAGTATCACGTTTTCCATAAGGTTGTCTTCTAACTTGTTGTCGTATGGGTGGGGAATTTCCTGTGTTGATCTTATGTTTTACCATATTAGTACATCCAAGGTCATCAGAACCTTTCGAAAAGACGTCTTGATATTTATAGAGCAATGTCGCAAATTTTTCCTTGTCACTATCCTCCAAATGTTCTTTCCCTTTGTCAAACATTGACTTAATGTGATCCGGTAATATATCTTGCTTGGCTTTTCCTTGATCTTTACTGCCGCTGTACATTATTGCAGCACATGTTTGAGTTGTGTCATTTCCATAATCGATGTCTCCTGATACTTCCTGTGTAGGATAACACTGACCTATTTCTTGACCACTTTTCAAAGTATGCACAGCCTCACTCTCATTCATAACTCCTATAAATGCCTCAATTCGATGGGGATCTAATAAACCGTTGATTATCTTTACTTCATCTATTTGTCCACCTTTTGTCTCACTTATAAACGCAACTTCAGGAAGCATTTGGTGTCTCAATATTCTCACTGGCACTAACATGCATGTGTTTGATGGCACTTGTATGTCACTCTTAACAGTAACTCTACATACTCTATTGTTATCATCCTTCATCATCCTACATCGTATTTTATGTCCACTTCTAGTACCAATCTCCAACGCTTCAAGGTCCCAATGTTTGATATTTCTCATTATAAAATCCTGTCCCAAGAGGCCTGGCAATGATATATCACATACGATAAGAGTCATTTTAACTCTGAATGGTCCAAACCCTATTTCTACCTCTATCTGGCCATGTATTGTGATATTTGTTCCATTCACTGATTGAACATTAATTTTCCTTCTATCAAGTGGATATGTGCCTTCTCCTCCGCATTGCTCATATGTTTCTTTAGATATCAAAGATGAAGTAGCGCCACTGTCAAGCAGAAAGTCTATATGATGGTTGTTCATGCTACCCCCTATATATAGTCCATTATCTTCAGAAAATTGTTTAACTTCTACCTGGCCAATTCTAAATGGCATATTATTTTGTTTGAATGTTGTTTCACAATGACTAGGTCGATTTCCCTCCATCTCAACCTTCGTCATCTCACGACCTAACGAGATGACGGCTTGAAGTTTTCCTGGTTCCTTAGGTGGGGTTTGTTTTGTAACCTATTCTTTTGTGGACATTGTCTCCAAAAATGATCCCTGGCCCCACATGTAAAGCACGATCTGTCATTTATAGGCTTCCTATCAGTTGTCTCAAGTTTATCCAGGCGTGCCTCTATCCTCTGTATAGCTCCTTTTATAGTCTTAAGTTCTGTGTCTTCTTTGAAGTCTGCAGGTTTGACATCTCTCAACTTTTCAGAGACTACACCTCTTATCAGTCCTGCAGATGTGGTTGCTCTCCCTAGCACATCCTCGTATCGTTCGACTATTTCTACTGCTTCCCTGATTGTTCTACAACTTTTATCCATCAGTCGACACCTCATTTCCGGTGAAAAGCTCTTGTAGAAATGTTCCAGTGCTAGCATCTCTTGGGCCACTGGATCAAGTGACACATATGCTTTTTGAGCATACAGCCTAATCTCATCTCCAAACTCGGCAACTGTTTCATTCTTTTGTCTAGTACGTGTCTGAATTCTGGATAGCCATCGGTTAGCCTGTCTTTTGCTACCAAATCTTTGTTCCAGGTGATTAGTAAGAACTTGGTATGGCCTTTTTTCTTGATGTGCTAAGGAGCTATAATGAAGCCTGGCTGTCCCTTAAGTGCTGTTGCTAGGTAAAGAAGCTTCTCTTTGTCCGACCATTCTGCAAGTTCTGCACAGTCCTCAAAGTAGACCTGGTATAAACCCCACTCTTCTTCCCCAGTATAAGACTCAGGCTTTATATTTGGGGCATGGCGTCGTACATAATGTTCCCTGGGAATGTAGGCATGGTCTCTTTCATCACCCATATCTCCAGACTCATCATTCCCACCTGGATGATTCATATTGAAATTGACTTCAGAATCCGAATCATGTTGATCTGCCATACTTGAAAATAATTATTTGAGCTTCTGGAAAATAAAGATATGAAGAAATAATAAACGAAAATACAAAGTTTGTTTTTTTTAAGTCTCGTGTATTATGTAAGAAATGCTAAATTCGGATCCGAACGGGTGTACGGCGTCGAACAGGTCTACGGATCCGAACGGGTGCACGGCGTCGAACAGGTCCACGGATCCGAACAGGTGTACGGAATCGAACGGGTGAACGGCGTCGAACAGGTCCACGGATCCGAACAGGTGTACGGAATCGAACGGGAGTACGACGTCGAACAAGTCTACGGATCCGAACAGGTGTTCGTCGTCGCACATGTCTACGGATCCGAACAGGTGCACGGAATCGAACGGGTGTGTGGATCCAAACAGGTGTGCGACGTCGAACGGGTCTAGAACCTTTTACTCCAAAGTTATCTCTCTAATCCTCCCAGTCCAAAATAATCTCTACGTCCAAAATTGGTCCGTAATTTTGAAAATATATCAAAATCCCACTTCTCTGACACCAGTGTGATGTTTTCGGGGGAAGGAAAGATAGCCGTTGTTCGAGCCTAGAGGGAAAACTCCGACCTGTGGGTGCCTTGATAGAATAATTTCAGATAAACTACAAAGAGCTTGTTTTAAGAACAAAAATGATTTATTTTATTAAGTAATCTAAAGATGTGTAGTAAGATGAAGTAGAATCTATAAATAAATTATCAATAAAATGATGACTGTTATTTATTGTTAGTAAAAGTAAATTAGTTATTAATGTTAATAAATGTTAGTAAATGTTAGTTACATTCGTTCCATCATGAACTCCAATTCAGAAAATAGAATCTACTAGGTGATGAAATAAAGCTCAGCTCTTGTAAGTTGTATCCAGTGTAGATGCCTAGTATCAACTTGTCGTAGATCTATAACGTTTAACTGAGGATTCCTATTAATTAACCAAGTAAAAAGAAACTAAGTAAAATGATTAGACTTAAATGATCTCTCCAGTGACCGAATCCAGTAAGCTGAAGGATAACACCGTACCGGCAATATATTGAAATTCCCCGCGTTAGGAACTTGTATTTTATTGGGCACCTTAGCACAGCTAACACTCTCATCCACTCAGATTGCGGAACGTCCATTTTGGCGCCAAAGCCCTCCATATCGACCAATGGCTAGCCGTTCGACTCCTACATCTAAAAGAAATAGATCCGAACAGGCCACGACGATTTCCAATAAAATCCCCATATCTGGTTGTCTAAGTAACCGATATTTTTTACCTAATTTAGTACTTTTTAACCTAAACATTCTGTTCCGGAATTGATTCAGAATTTAGTCAAAACCAAGCATGCACTGTGACGTCACTATTGACACAAAATGAAAGTAAATTAAGTTTGCTATTCCTTATAGAAATAAAGAGTCACCATGCATGTCATCAACTATTTGTAAAAGGTATATTGTCACTGAAATATATAGTTTGTATACATGCATTTATTGCATCATATCCGTTAATTATAAATATGATAATACGAAATGTCATAAGTTTTCACGATCTGTCAAATATTGCCGGTGTTTTAAAAACAGCTATCTCT